GCCCTCACTTCCAGAATCGAATTCGCAAATTATGAAAGACATAAATTATTGTTCTTTTTATGCATTTATATGGTGTAACAAACCTTATATAATCAGGAGATCATTTATTTTATGTTTGGTATTTTCTTATATAATTATTTCAAATTCTAAATTTGTCATAAACTTTTGTTTTTATCTGCCACAAAGCTTTCGGTCGTGATGATTATTATTTGTGTTCGGCCATTATGCATGGAAATTGTTTCTTTAAATATTTGTATATAATGTATGATTATACTGTATTATGATGGAATTTGTTTCGAAGATAAAGAATCCTGTGGAAGGGGGGGGGGGGGTACTACCTGGATAGCATGGTGTAGTGTGCCGTATACGTACGTTCTACATGTTGATGCAGTGAAAGTTGTAAATGGGGAGGTGGAGCATAAACTTATATACATCGACTTCACTCTGTTCCGCATAATGCCACTTGTACATTACAAGGAATAAGATGTACTTTCCAACAATATGCAGCTCCGTAAAAGACGTTATAATGTATAATCTTGATGACTACTATATGACAACCAGAGCTTATTCTGACAGTAGACGTCTCGAATCGACCAGTCACGACACAGAATCTCCAAAACGTCTAGCTAATTGCTCTGTTCGATGCCAATTATCATGCCTAATTACACAAATACAATAATGACAAACCATCATGCTCGTCCGATTATGTTTTGTAATAATTGCACACCGTACATTCGTGAAACTACTAGTTCATGGCGAAGATAGATTCCTCACATGGCATGTACACACATTCTTCCAGTTTTAATTATTTTGTTATGATTATAAAAGCCTTTCACGTATCTCAACTTTCACTAATAATAAAATGTGGTGAACATGATGTTCAAACACCTGTCTATTCTAGTGATGATTTAAAAAACCTTCCTTTTTCATCCTATCCTCCTCCTCCCCCTCCTCATCATAGTCATCATCGTCATCATCATTATCATAACCTTCATCATAATAATAATAATTATCATTGTGGGCGCAAATTATAAGAGTGACTTTTTTTATTTTTCGGCGAGTAAATATGAGCACAATCATAATGGGGTTGAAGAAAAAAAAATCTACTACGTTTTTTTTCCTTTTTTTCACAAGGGTAGGATGCATCCGGTAATGGTATACGTGGAGCAATGATTCCTATGATGTGACACTGAACAAGCCTCATTGCAAAATTCCATTAAAAAAAGTATATTACGACTGACATAATACATGTCTACCTTTTTAGCCTATTTGACATTCAATGCATGCCTTCTGGTTGCCAAGACAACACCGTTATCTCTCAATATCATCCTCCCTAGATGCTCTCATTATGTGTAAATGAATTGATGGAACTACAACACAGTGATATCCAATTATACCTTAATATGTCTTTTGAGTAGGGATAAATATCTACTGCACTTTAAAGGTACTATGTCCCATTTGCAGGCCCCAAAAATGAAAAGGTTAAATTCCAACGGCATTTGAAAGATAATACTAATTTAGAACTTCCCTAAAAAGTGGGGGGGGGGGTTGAAAATGTCTTTAAGTGGGAAAATAACGACTTACTGTTGTCGAATCGACTTAACAGCTATAGAGCCAGTAAGTAATAGTCTGATTTTTCAGACCATTGTATATACCGAATGGTCGTACGTTTTATGCTGCGCAAAGACTCAATCAGTTTAATTTTGGCTATTACAAGAAGTGGGTTATTGATGTAGACAAATTTAATGCTCTTGTACCCTTTACAGCTCATTTTATATATGTTATTACCAAAGAAGAAACAAAGCCAGTCAGTCACTCAATAGTGTCTGACAGTGAAGTCTAGCAAGTAATGGGTTTCCTTGCATAATTTGAATATTAGGACACTGCTAACGTTTAAATTTCACAGATAGGACATACATGACATATTAATAATTCCTGCAAAGTTCTTCAGAATTTGATGTTGGCTGCAAAAGGGACATAGTATCTTTAAGAAAGAGCTATTATGTGCTTCATTGGCTCTGTATGTTGTTTTTGCCTGTTTTGCTATACAATTGCAGTCATCCCCATGGTGGATCTATATATGATTACGAAAACGGAGACGGAGAACTCAAATTCTCAACCCCATCCATTGGATTTCAATTTTTCTTTGAAAAACAGGCAACTTGTGTGCATGCTGTATAATAATAATAATAATAATAATAATAATAATATTCAGTTTTTATATAGATCTAGCGCAAGTTACAATTAAGTCTCTAAGTGCTATAGAAATATTAAAAAATCAAGAAGTGAGTACAGAAGAAATGAAGTAATAAGAACATATTATTAATAGCATGATAAATATCCAAACTGGTAACTACATGTATAAAAAAGGTACGAAATTACGTTTGAAAATGTAAGACTTTAACAGAGGACTTAATAAGTCAAGAGCATAACATTATACTACGAAGTTTGTTCCATAGTAATGTTGAGGGACTGCATGTTAAAAATTGTAATGTTCTATATATGCCCATATGATATTGTAGATACCGTAAGGCAACTGGAACTAAACGAAGTTGCCTACTCACTGAGAAGCTGTTGTAAGTAGAGAGGACCCAATTTATCCTGACATTTGAATGCTATTACAAGAAGTTTAAATATTAATCTATCTTTAACTGGAAACCAATGTCAATTACGAAGTATTATGGAAACTGATTTTCGTGAATGTGTTCTAGACTTCTAGTATATACAGGTGCTCAGAGCTGCAAAGAGAGCAGCCGGACGTATACATGTAGCTGCCCCTATCTCGGATTCTTCACTGCTGATGATGAAAGTGGATAGATCTTGTAAAAAATGGTTACGATTGTTTCAGCTCATAATATTGCGTTAAAACGTTAATTAAAAAAT